GTGAACTCAGATAGTCTGATGGCAGAGTCCACACCAATAAATGCTTTGATCCAGGGAGTTTGTGAGTCACCCAGGCCTCAAGAAAGGAAAATCAACTGATTTGGCTGCACAGGGCCCTGGGAGAGAGGAAGAGAAAGCACTCTGATTCTTTCCTCTGCAGCCCTTTTCCTTCCCCCATTTTTCATTCTTTTTCTGGAAGGTAATTGCTTGGGGCAGTGACAACCTCCTGGCGAATTACACAGCTGGTTTCCCAGTGAGATTTGTAACAACAACTCCACCAGCCTGGCAGCCCCCAGCAAGTTCCGGTTTAAGAAACTAATTGCTGGATTGTGTAGTTGGTGCTAAATTGGGTAATTTCTTGGTGACGGCATCTGTGCCACTTCTTCCATTCCCAGATTGATTTGAGATATATCAGAGAAGAATTTGTCACACACAGCACTCTCCCAGACTCCTTTGCTTCCCACTTCCCAGCCAGCCACAGGCAATCGCAGAAGTGGTTGCTTCCTTGGCCATACAGGGGTTCACCATCTGAGCGGCTCTCTGTGTCCTGGGATAGTGGAGAGATGGCTTGGTGCACCCATGAGGAAGAGAACAGCAGCACCCAGCATTGTCATAGGGCTTCAAGTAGTTTCCTTTATTCTGAACTTACCTAACCTTGGACTTGGTATAAACTCACATTTACTACCCAAGGGAAAAGGCTGAACCATGCTTTGGTTAGTTGTAGAACGTGTGGTACAAACAAGGTGTTTTTATTTATTTGCTTTAAAAACAACAGATTTACTTTCATTACTGTGTTTCCTTAGAATGGCACTTGAGAATTTGACTTCTGCAGCCTAACAGCACAGCCAAGAGAAAAGCAAAGGCTTGGAGTCATTGGGTTTGACTTCTGCCATTGCCACTAGCTTTAGGTGTGATCTTGTGGAGGTCAGTAAGCCTCTACAAGCCTCAGTTTCTTTTTCTTTTAATTGGGAGCAAGGATAATATCTGTCCCTTGGAATCATTTTTGGGAATCAAATAAAATACCATAAATGAAAGGAACTAGTTTTTTTGTAGACTCACATTCACTCAGCAAACACCTGCCATAGGCCAAGCATTGTGTTAGGAGCTGGGGAGAATGTAGTGAATAAAATGGGGGAAATTCCTGTGTGGAACTTACATTCTAGTGGGAAAGGCAAGCAATCTCAGAATCACACAGATTTAAAATGGTAACAATATAAGAGCCAGGTTCATTGTGCCTTGAGAGCAAACAGCAGGGGGATCTGACCTAGTCAGGAAAGCCAGAGAAAGCTTCCCCGAGGAAGCAACAACTGGGCTGAGATCTGAAGGGTGTGCAAGAGTTAGCAAAGCAGAGGTGGGAGGGAAAAGCTTTCTGGACAGGGGAAATAGGCTCCATGATGTGAAGGACCAGAGAACGGAACAAAGCCTGGCTTGGCTGAAGCAGAGAGAGCACGGGGGAGCGTGTGGTGAGAGGCTATGGGAAAGGAGGAAGGGCCAGATTCCACCGGCCTGGTTGGACACTTTATCCTAAGGATAATGATAAGCTAAGGAAGAGTTTTAAGCGGAGAAGTGACATGACCAGATTTACATTTCCGGATGATCATTTGGGTTGGAGCAGGATAAGAACCGAAGCAGGAAACTGGTTGGGAGACTTTTACAGATGCACAGGCAGAAGGTGGTGTTCAGAGGTGTATATTAGCAGTGCTTTCTGCAGCAAATACAGAAAACCTGGCCAACAGTGGTTTCAAATAGCGAGTGTATTCCTTATCACAGAGACGCTTGGAGAAAGGCAGCTGCTTGTGTTGCTTCTGTGGCTTGCGAGGGCTAACATCTCTGCGTTTCTCTAGGCCTTTCTGTCATGGTGGCAGGATAGCTACCCTAGCTCTGGCCATCAATGTTTTATTCCAGCCAAAAAGAAGGGGAGGAAGGATGGCGCTAGCAAGCCTCATCCATTTTGTCACAAAGACAGATTCTTTCCCAGAAACCCTGATCACATACTTTTATGTATATTTCATTCACCAAAACTGAATTGTATGGCTTTGAGTTATAAGGGAGTCTGGAAAGCTGGGTGTGGTGGTGCACACTTATAATCTGAGCACTCAGGAGGCTGAGGCAGGAGGATCACCACAAGTTTAAGGTCAGCCTCAGCTACATAATAAGTTCAAGGCCAGTCTGATCCAAATAGTGAGACCCTATCTCAAAAAAACTAAAAATAAACAAAACAAGGGAGGCTGAGAAAGGAAAGAAGGAGGCTGAAAATGATTTTTAGCTAGTCAGCTAACAATGATCAGTAGATTTGGGAATAAGTGGCACATCTATTTTTAGGAAGCAAAATCCATAGGAATTGGTGATGGATTGAATTATAAGTCCCTTCCTCACTAGTTTTTCGTTCTCATTGATTATGTTAAAAAATGGGAGCAGAGGGTAGAGGGATGTGATTACAGCTCATAATATATATGAGGAAGCCAATAATTAATTTTTAAATCTTTTTTGGGGAAATCCATAAACTGCTTAGCCCCTTATTCCAAGAACTTGGATTTAATTATATTGTTTATTATTTGAACATTGGAGAGTTAGAGGCTTCACATAAGAGATAACATTGAGCAATCTTTTAGAGTTTTTAAAATGGTTTCATATGCATAGTGTCTTTGATATTCAGTAAAGGCCTGGGTAATGGGTGAGCAGATGTCATTAGGCTTGGGGAAGTTAGGTCCCTTGTCTGGTCTTGGGGCTGTACTTTTTCCAGTAGACAGTGTTGTCCTATAGCACATGGGTAAGGGAATCAGAAGAGTTTGGTGAGGAGGAATTGCAGGGGCCTCTGTCCTCTGAGACTAGACCCCGGAGAGTATGGATTGATGTTGCAGAGACTGGGGTTTGACAAGATCTCGATGACAACTCAGCAGTGCATTTATATAGCTGGGACAGAGCATACCCGAGATCATCCACCACTGGCAAGTACAGTGTGAAGTTCCAGCTCGATATGACCACAAACATAGAAATAGAAAATATGGTATTCTGCTGAAGTGGCCTTTTGTGCTGTCTTGGCCACAGATCCTGCCTAGGTTAGGAAGAAGAGTGTGCCATAGATGAAGGACTGGACTATCAAAGCTTCTGTCAAAGCTGAGAGATGCTTCCAGGTTACTGGGGATTGAACTCAGTCCCTTGTGCTTGCAAGGCAGGCGGCAGAACTACTGAGCCAAATCCCCAGCCCGAAAAGCAGCCATTTTGATCTGAAGTCCCCTCTGCTGTCCCAGAAAAGGGCAGTGAAATAGAAGAACTGTCACAGAGTCAGGCAGTTGGTAGCTGTGAAGTCACCCAGTCTCCAGTCTAGGCCCCAGGGTGGGCTGGCAGTTGATCCTGTCTCATCCTCTCTTCTATGGAAGATTCCGAGGAGATTCCACAATTTTCTTCATTGTCTCACATCCCTCAGGATCCAGGAAGTTCTTCCTGATGTCTGTTTCTCTTCCACTACTATTAATCATGCTTGCAAAGCTAGCTCTTCTTCCTGACACCCTTGTGTCTAATAATGGCATCATTAGTCTTCTAGTCGCGGCTGCTGCAAACTTCAGAGTCATCTTCCTTTTTGACCCTCTCTCTTTCTCTTCTTCCCTGTTTTTGCCAGATCCTAACTGTCTTCTGGAACTTTCCCAGCCCACCCATCAAAATTTCCTATTTATGCACCTCTTGTGTTTTGTGCCTGCTAATTCCTCCAGTGAGACATGTCCTCTCTCCTACCTCTGTCTACACAATGCACAGCCATTTTGTACTGACAGATCCAATACCCTCTTCTCTAGGAAGTCTTCCTTGATTTCTCACCATTGAATCTGGTTTTGCCCTTATTGGAACTAGCCTAACATCTTGGCACTTTTCTCCAATGCAGTCATTTACTTATCTATCCAGTGAATATTTTTTAGAGACCAGCCTCTGCCCAAAGCCCCGGAATAGGTGCTAGAGAACTACAGATGAATAGGACTTGGCTTCTAGCGTGCAGAATGTTTTCCCCCACATTGTAGCAGGGGGAGATAGAGACAGAAACAATTTCAGTGCAGTGTGATAGCTGCTTTCATGGGGGTACCCAGGATGTTATAAAAGCCCAATAGAGAGACATAACCCAGAATAAGAGTACAGAAAGTCTTGAAGGGAAGGTGGGGCTTAATATGAGTGTTAGCAAGGGGGAGAGTTTGAGGGTGGAAAAGCAGAGTTTCTAGGAGGGCACGGTTTGTGCAAAAATACAGGGACCTCAAATGACTGTCAAGTGAGAGGTAGTTTAGGAGACTATAGAGCCCTTGAGGGTAGAGGCCACCCTTAAATTACACTATACAATTTTCATTCAGAATCTTACTAATGGTAGCTGCTCAACAAATGTTTGTGGAATGCAACCACGTTTAAGGGCAATGAAAACGCTGTGGCTAAGCACCATGAACAGATCACACAGATACCTGTAGTTGGAGGTAGTCCAACCTGTGATCTCATTTGCATGTATTTGCATAACGAAGGGGTCTGAAAGCTCTGAATCATGGGGGATCAAATCAATCTTGGTGTGGGGCGCTGAGAAAGGAAATTGTCCGGGCCAGAGATAAGTCCTAAGGATTCTAGGAGAATCTGTTTTCCCCTTTGCTGACCACTTTTTTTTTTTTTTTTTT